TGGCCTGGGAGGAGGCCGTGGGTCTGGGCATGGGCGAGCCCAGTGACCTTCGCATCCACATTTGAGGCAAGCCCCTGGTGGAGAGGGGTGCTGGATCCCCCAGAAGCTTTGCTGGAGACGTAGTCCTCCGGGCCGCTACCAAGGCCTGGGTTTGGGGTGTTACCTTTTTCTGCAATGGAGCCTGCTTTAAAGGCCATCTTCAGCAGATCTCAGAGGTCTGAGGGTCCTCCTCAGCTCATCTGGGCTGATTGAGTGCTAAAATGGGTTGCTAACACTGTAGCCCTGGTGGGAGACTCAGGATCCAGCTTCCTGTGTCTGGTGAGGGCCTCTGTAGGGCCGTTGAGAATTCAGGCTGGATTTCCATCTGGATTCTGGGAAAGATCTTGAAGTGAGAATGGGACGTGGATTCGAATGATCCCTTCAGCAGCAGCCATTTCCTCTAGAAGACAAAGGAGCTTTGGGTTAGCTGGTGGGAGGGCCTGGTGGGACTGGGTGCGGGACTGGGTGCCGAGCAGAGAGGCGCGAGTGGGGGAGGGGAACGGGCTTGTCAGTAGAGGAGGTGAGCAGAGCGGGGAGGAGGCTCCGAGGGGGAGAAATAAAGAATGTCCATGCGCTTCTGCCCCTTTCAAGGCTAGTGACAGCCATTCCCTCTGGGTGCTAAGTTCAGAAGTCTTCAGCCTTAGGCTTTGAGTCCAGCAGATGTGCACTCACTCAGAGTGTGACCAGGTCCGGGACAAGGCAGGCTTTTCCTGGTGTGGAGTGGACGACTGTTGATGAGAGGGTCGTATGAGGAAGTTGTGACTCTCACCAAGGTCCAGACCAGGCGGTAGAGTTTGAGAGCAGTGAGGATCACGTAGGGGATCAGGAACGGTGACAAGTGACGGGATGTCAGAGTACAGCCTTTTTCGGCTAGTGAACCCCTGTTCATTTGCTCTGTCATTCATACTAAATTTTGAGGCTTTTGACCCCCCTTTCAATCCTCGTCAGCTACCACTGGGTTGCTCAGTGACATCATCTACCCTGGTCTGGTGTCTTCCCCGATCTTCTCCCCTTTCCCTCTTTTCAGGTGAGGACCGCGGGGCTTCCCTCTGTTACCAGGGTGAGGGGAAGGGACTTGTCTGAGGCCACATGGAGGGCTCTGTGGGTGGCCTGGTGGGACTGCAGGTTTCAACTGGAGTTTTTAAGATGGAGTGGCCTCAGGCCACCTCACACCTGGCCATCAGGAACTGCGTCTGGAGACAAGGCCCTGCTGCACCCTCACAACGACCTGTGGAGAACATGGGTGGTCTCGGGACGAGCCGCTGAGATGCAGAATATGACACCAGAGTTCTGGTGTTCCCGCTGCACTTGTTTATGTGACTCTTCTGTTTTGAAGGGATCCGCCGTCTGCTGTCCGGCTGCCTTGAGGGGGTGTGGGTAGGAAAGGCTGACCGCCCCCGCCCCCTCTCACAGCTTTCCGAGCGACCCCCTTCAGTGCCGATTGGGAGGTCAGCTTCTCTTCAGTGTCTCACACTCTGGTGTTCAGCGCATTTGTGGTGTGACGCAGCGCACAGCCTCAAGGCGCTTTCAGGTGCCCGCTATGCCCGCTGCGGAGCAGGGAGAGCCCTGTCGCTGCCCAGAGTGGGCACATCTCTGGCAAGCTGGGTGCTTTCTTGCTCACTGCCCCGGCCAAGAGCTGCAGGCTCGGTTGTGAGTTTTCAGGGTTTTCACCCAACAGCAATCCACAGGGTTTATATTTCTCTTCTCTTAGGCTGAAAAACTTCATTTTTAACCATCAGCAAAGACTTTTTTTAACCTTGATTTGATTGATTGATTGTTATGTGGTGCTGAGGATCCAACCCCTCGCCCCCCAGGTGCTAGGCGAGTGCCTTCCGCTGAGCCACAATCCCAGCCCCATAGCAAAGATCTTTGCTTGTTGTATTTCATAAAATGAGGGTCACTGCTCCCAGAGCACAGCGTGGTGGTGTTGCACCGTGACCCTGTTTGCACAGTTCAAGCTCCTCCATTCTTCCCGCCGGTCCCTCAGGTTGTCCCACACGTCCCAGGTTCCTCTCAGTTCATCCGCCACCTGTGCAGAGACCTTTCATCTTCTCATCTTTCCTTTCTTTGGGGTTTTATTTTTTAAGTCTTTATTTAATTTTATTTGTAATGATATAGAAAACCGACATTCTTCCAGAGTCGATCCAGGACAGAGTTTGCCCAGCGCAGTCCTGCACGGAGTCCCCCTGGTGACCACTTTCTGAAGTTCTGAGTGTATCTTTGCATTGACAAAGACAAGCAGGTGTGGGTGCCAGTTCCTCCTCTTCTCCAGGAGGTGGGAAGGGTGCCCCCTGCAGCTTCCGTGCCCTGCCGCAGCTGGAGTGAAGGACGGCATGAGGGCTCTCCTCGTGAAGGCTCTCCAAGCTCATCTTTCTGCGTTTTCGTTGGTGATCCCTGGAAGGGGATAGTTTGGTTAAGAGTGAGTGCATTGTGCCTGTCGTGTTCTGTGGACAGTCTTCTGTCATTGACATTTGGGTCATTAGTTTTACTTGCTGTTATAAATACTGTTGTGGGGAGGAATTGGTGCCTGGGACTCTGGGACACCTGGATTGTTTCCTCTTGCTGGACTCCTGGGAAGAGCGGCCCACTCAGGTGCATGAGCACTTTGGCTCTGCTCAAGTCACTTGCCCCTTGCTGGCTGCCGACACACTGCCCTCAGTCTTTCTCCCACCTACCTGCTCTTGCGGCCCACACCCCAGGGCTCCCTAAAGCTTCCCAGGCAACAGGTACCCCTTGCTGCGCCTGCCAGACTGGCCAGAGCCCTCATCCTTGCTCCGCTCCACACCCCTGTGACCTCCTGCCCCACTGACCCACGGTGCAGGCTCTTTTGGAAGTGCCCCTGCTGCCCGCCCCAGCTCCCTTGCCCATGGCGGCCACCCTCAGTGCATTCCTTGCCTCCAGCTCATTGCCCAAGGCCTCCCGCCGACTGCAGCTCCCTGTGGGCAGCACTGGGCCATGTGAGGCCTAGGACCCCAGTGCCTGGCCCAGGACTGCAGCCCAGGGTGCTCTGGGGAACTGACCCAGGAGGCGGAGACGCTCCCGTCTCAGATCCCTCCACACAGCAGTATTTATAACAGCGAGTAAAACTAGTGACCCAAATGTCAATGACAGGCGCAGGCTCCTGGGGGCACAGGGCCAACAGCTCTTGGCCTCAGGCTTCTGCCCCTGGTCTGGGCTGCTTCAGGCGCCCTGAGGGCGTCCCAGGGGAGGCACCTCCTCGGGAAGCTGGGCGCCTTGCTGCATGCTGCACACCTGACCCTGGGCCAGAGACCCTCCTGATATCCACAGGGTGGGAGATGCTTCCCCGTCCCATGGGAGCCTCAGGAGAGGCCTGAGGAAGTTGCTGTCTGGTGGGGGTCACTGGAACCCCCCTTTCCCCCTCTGCTCCTTCTCCCCCTGAGGCTCACACCTGGCCTCAGGGGCTGTCAGACCCCTGCCCCTACCTCCACCTCCTTGCCACTGCCCAGCTGGTGGGGCTGTGGGGAGGCCTGCAGTGTGACAGCATCGGGACCATGGGAAGCTGGGGCAGGGCCAAGACCCCTCCTTCAAGCCCCAACTCTTAGGATCAACTCGGAAAGATTTCACGCGTGGCTCTGAGTGACAGGCACGACTTTATTGAAGGGGTGGGAAAAGGGAAAGGGGACACTCTCGAGGGAGAGAGTAGGTGCTCTCAGAGAGGAGAGAGACCACGTGCCTGTCCTACACTCCAGTTTTACTGGGGTCCCAGAGAAGTCTGCAGAGAGTCCTGCCCAGGTTCACCTCTTGACTTCTGACTGACATTAAGATGACATCAGACTTTTAAGTCCCACTGCCATGGCAACTCCAGGTCCCCTTGCCCATGCCAACTGGTTCTAACTGGATTCTGACCGGACATGCTTACAGATTTTGTGGTTAGGAGGAACTACCCTTATGTCCCCAGTTTCAGGATCTGGTCTGTGTAAGGGTCACAACAGTTCCCCCTTCAGGGTGACTCGCATTCCTCTACAGGCATGGTTTGGGGCCTGCATTTCTCCTGCAGATAGGCAGTTTGCTGAGGAATGGGGCGCGTCCTGTCCCCGGAGGCCAGGCAGGGCTGTGGGCAAATTGCTTCTTGGAAAAGAAAGCATTGGGGGTTTGCACGGTGGGCCCACTTTTCGGCATTCCTCCCTTAACCTCATGTCCCCACCATCCTCATCTGTCTGTCCCCTGTCATTAAGGGACCAAGTGCAACTGGTTCACCTCTCTGCTGTGCAAAGCAAGCACGTGACATCAGGAGTGACCGTGGACAGGGGCTTCCTCCTTGCCGCAGGCGAGGAGAGCTTTGAGGGACTCTCAGCTGGGCTGCCCTGGCAGAGCCGGCTCTCCCAGGGGCCTGTGCATGTTGACACTGAAGAGCCCAGCCACCTTCTGCTGTCACGTCCTGCAGCTCCCTCAGTGCCTGGTCGTAATCACATGCTCAGGGGAAATGGCAGAGGGACCGCTGGGTGAATGAGTGACATGTGGTCAGGCCACCGGAGAAAGCAGGCGTGGAGGGGCCCCGTGGTGGGACGGGGTCCTCGCAGGGTTTTCTGAAGGGCCTTACCTGAAACCCACAAACCAATGGAAAGCAACTTCCAGTCATTTGAAGGGGTAGCTGCTTCTCCCCTGGCAGGAGCTTGTCCTGAAAGAGGTGCCTGGTGGCTGACCCTGGCATAAAGCCACCTTGTGTCTCCCCCACACCTTCACCTCGAAGCCCTGGGTCCCGTCCTCACCCTGGCAGAGCGGTGCCCCAGTCCCCACTCCCTCCTCCACGCCTCTCTCCAGGGGTGCCCCCACATTCATGCTGCCCTCTAAGAGCCAGCCTGTCTCGGCCCCTGCCCAGTGCACCCCATGCCTCAGTGGGCGAGTGAAGGAGCACATTTCTCAGGAATACATCTTCTTTTGACCTTACAAAGCTGGCCACAAAGTGGGCAGCGCTCTCAGCCTGTCACTTTCCCCTGCAGGGGCTGTATAAAATGGACGTTCGGTTTGGGCCGGGCGTGGAGACCTACCCCGATGGCAGTCAGGACGTGGGGCTATGGTTCCGCGACCAGCTCATCAAGCTGTGCACGGAGACTCCCAGCAGCTTCTCCCTGCTCAACTTCCCGGAGTTCTCCGCCTTTCTCGGGCCCTCGAGAGAGAGAATCAGCCTCTCGGATGAGCAGAAGGCTGAGTGGGGCCCGCCCGAAGAGCAAGACCCCTTCTTCTATGAGTACCAGCGGTTCCTCCTGAATGACGACCTGGCGCTTCCTCCAGAGATGCACGTCTACTCCACCGACCACAGACACCTGCCGCTGACGGCCGCGCTCGCCAGGGAGCTGGACGCCCGCGTCTTCGCTAACGAGATCCCACCGTTTATTGAGGATGGAGAACCCTGGTTTATCACAAACCAGACTCCATTGTTGGTCAAAATGCAGACGCAAACTTACAAGTTCAGGTGATGGGTCTGCTCTCCCTCCTCTGTCCCTGGTGCCTCCCTGGACAGGCACCCTTCTGCGTGGGGTTTGAAGTCTCTCAGCGCCCAATTGTCGCTACTCAGGGCCGGCACGATTCTTGACCTTGTTCACCAGGTGGACATGAGCATACAGCTCTTTAAGTGGCTGATACAGTCCAGGAATGAAGGTGGACAGGATGTCCCCACTGTGGGAGGGGCTTCCTGAGAGTAGGGCCACGGGCCACCTGTATCTACGCAGGGAAACAGGGACCGGGAGCACTGCTTGTCCACTCTCTGGGGAAGGAATGGTGGGAGGGCGCTTGGTGAGTGGGCAGCCAGGATAGTCCTGAAGCTGTGTGGGACCTGGGAAGGGGTGTGGCTGAGGATAAACCCCTGAGCTCAGAGAGAGAGCAACTCCTGGCTTTCGACCTCTGCACGCTTCCCCTTCTGAAGGTCAGTTAGTGTCCCCTGAGTCCAGGTGCATGTCTGTGATTAGACGTCCCATGAATCGAGTCCCTGCATGTTCACGATGAAGAGAAGGGATTGTAATTATCATCACGTCAAAGCTTGGCCTCTGCCAAGCTTTCATTCACGCACCCAGCTATCTGTTCTCGCAGTCATCATTCTATCTGCCATTACCAAGCCATTAAAAAGGCCATCTACCCACTCATCCATCCACCCATGCACCATCCACTCATCCCACCAACCCACCATCCATCTACCCACTCACTCATCCATCCATCTGTCCATCCATCCATCCACCTATATCAATGCATGCATATATCCATCCATCCACCCACACACTCATCCATCCATCTATCCATCCAT